CAGTTCACGTCGTTTAAAGCATCGACGACGCCATTTTCAGCGGAAAGAGAGCGCCGTCGCCGTCCACAGCCGTCGGCGCTAGGAGCGTCCCCAAACACTATGACCTAAAGCGGTTTTCATCAAGGCCCAGTAGTGGACGGCATCCAATTCAAATCCTGCAATCGACGCTTTGTAGGCAACAAAAAGGTGCAAAAACGCTGCTCGGGCCGAGTCGTGTACATGGCCGCAACGCTTCCTGTTGCAGCAGTCATTGCATCATCAAAATACTAAAATTTTCGGCAGGCATACATAACGACCATTTTTTATTAGGAATCCACGGCCCTCACCTGGTTTTTTAACACAAACCTGCCTGCAATACGCCGGAAGGATTTCAGCATATTTTTTGTAGGAGCCATGTATGATTTATATACTCCTCGCTATCCCTCTTCAAGCTTTCTTAGATGAAATCGTGACCCCATGCTCGCGACGAACGTCTTGGATGATTTCCTTTGGTCTATTATGAATTTGTCTTGCAACCGGGCTTCGACTTCACTCGCAAACAAGAAGCTGATGAATGTTGGCGATCAAGGTAAGTCACGCCTTGACAAGAGTGTTTGTCTCGCATATCTTTATGGTAATCGCTGGTGCGTCTGCAAGCTTTGCAGCGTGCAGCGTACAGGGGAAACCTTCTTGCACGCAAGCCACTATGAAGCGTCTTTTGTCACTTTGTGATCACCGCGAGATTAAATCGTTCAGCGATGGCACTCGCTTTGACTGATTTGCGGCAGCTTTTTGCATCCGCCAACTCTGTTCCAACGGTAAGCTGATGTTCCGCCATAATTTGCGCGAAGAAGTAGTGAGGAAGGGGCGCGGCGGCGAGTTAAAGTGATGTGATAAAGGTTTGCGCAACGGTTATTTGTGTACACATAGGCTATAGCCAGGGGCAATTTATGTTTGTGCAAGGTGTTCGTCGTACGCACTTGTGCAAAAGATGTAGGAAGTAAAAGTGAAATATATAGAGTGCTAAGAACTGCCTCCTTCAATGCTACAATATGTATGACCAGAAAAGGAAACTGCAACTTGACCATGTAAAGTCACAAATGGTGTACGTCTCTCCTTGTCCCATGTGACATCCTGTCACATGACGTCCGTCTTTCGCAGTCCCATGTGTCAACCTGTCACATGGCGACCGTCTCTCCTCAAACCGTCGTGGTCCCACATGTCACGTTGTGTGGTAATCAGCCAATCAGGTGACACCGTCCTACGGTATAGCACTTGAACCTAGAAACCTGTCAAACACGATGGTTTTTAACACTCCTCCTTGGTGTTAGCCTGTGTGGCCTTCAACTTGAGCATGGCCCTCAACTCCTTCATCCTTGGCGCCGGCAACGACTTTATCAGTATGTCAGCCACCATGTCCTCCGATCGCACGAATCGAGGCACCACTGCTACTTACTGTGTGTAATGGCAAATGAACTTGAAACCTATATCGACATGCTTGGCACTCGAGGTGCTCTTCTCTGACTCGAGCTGTTTGATCGTCACTTGATTATCGATCAACATCGGCCTAGGATCACGCACTTTAAGCTTCAACTCGCTAAGCGGTTTTCTTCGTGCAAATTAGCTCCCGACCAGCTTGTGAAGCAGATATAAACTAGGCTTCAATCGTGCTCAACGATACGCCCGATTGCTTCTTGCACAACCTGAGAATCACAGCACCATTAACATTCAGTACGCATCCTTATGTTGACTTAAGGTCGGCCTTGTTCGCAGTGAAATCGGCGTCGCTCCAGCATTCGACGTAAATATCCTCTGACACAGGTCCATCACCGTCCAGATGCAGCTTCAAATCCTTGGACATCTTCAGATATAACAAGATGCGCGTCGCAGTCTTCCAATCTTGGAGAGTTGGCTTGTGCGTCCTTCTTGTCGCCTCGTGCACTGCAAACTAAATGTCTGGACGCGTGCATCTCGCGATCCATAGCAGGCTTCCCACCAGTGACTGAAAAGACTTCATACTCGAATCTTCTTTTGCTCCTCGTGCTGGTAAGTACTCAGTGTCGTCTTCGGCATCCATGTTGCACTCGTCTCCGATAGATGTGCGAGCGCCATTAGACGACTCCATACCAAAGTCTCTCAACATCAAGTCGATAGTAATCTTTCTTCAGAACATATCCACTTGAAGCGTCAAGCTCAATCGGTAGCCAATCAACTTGTTCACAATTATCAGATCCTTAATGGATAGTGAGACCACATCGTTAAAAAAATCTTCCACAGCGCCTTGTTCAGTGCTTATGACGAACAGGTCGTCCACGTAGATACCGACCACCGTGCATATCTTGCCCTTGTACTTGAAGTATAGGCACATGTCCCTATAACATTGCGATACCCGCTTTCTCGTAGCTTGGTGTCAAGTAAATTGCTCCATAGCCGCTCAGCCTGTTTAAGTCCGTATAGCGTCTTCTTTAACAACAACGCTAGGTCGTTTGGGGTCCACGCGTTCAGGTCCTTCGTCCCTTTCTCCTTCACTGCCATCTCCTTCGTTACCTTCATGTAAATATTTAGGTATCCCCCTTTTAGCCTTGACGTATGCATTGGGTACATCACCATGGCGCGCTGGTACGTTCCAGCGTCTCGAAAGCACCAGGATCAACTTAACCGTGCCCAAGTCCATGACCGCTGCGAACGTGAGGAATTAGGTTACTCCGAACACTTGTTCGTTCCCGCAAACGACCAGGCGAGCTTTGTACCGCTCGGTGTCCCCATTCGCGTCGATCTTTGTCTTGCAGACTCGCTTGTTGTGCAGGACGTGTGCACCCTTGGGCGGCACTACAACCGTCCAAACATCGTTTGACTTTAAAACATTCATTTTACGGTCATGGCGACCTGCCACTGTTCCCGGTGGACACTGTTGATGGCTTCCCGATAGTGTTTCGGGTCTTGCACCATGAACGCGTTTACCACATGGTGCCGCTCAACAGATCCCTCGGGCGGGGCCTCTTCAACTTCCCGCTTGCTCGTGGACCTTGTACGATGTTAATATCTCGTCCAACCCGACCTTCGTCCTTTGCGGCTTCTTGTGGTTCGTTTCTTGACACCTCGTTGTGGTGTCGTATCCGTCTGACACTCCCGGTGTGAACCCTCTGACTGTAAACTCTGTTTAGATCGGGATCGAGCTCCGCGTCCCGAACATCCTTTAGTGCCTCGATTTTTTGAACGTGTTGCGTCACCACAACCACCTCATACTTAAGTATGTAAACCTTGTATCCCTTTGTCTCAGCTCTCTAGCGAATGATGATGCCTGCCTTGCCTAGTTCTCCGAGCGATTTGTTCTTGGCATCGACGTGCACCGTGCATGTCGATACAAAAGCGACGATGTCGTTGAGTATAGGCACCTTGTTCGTAAGGATTTCCATTGGAGACGCTCCTCGTAGGTTCACCTTGGTCCTGATTCGGTTCAGTATGTATGACGCATACTCGTCAGCATCACCCTAAAATGTCTTAGGTAATCCTGAAGCGAACAGCATACTTCGAACCATATTCGTAATGGTTCGATACATCCGATCAGCCTTGCATTTACTGGCTTAATTTTGAGCCTCACTCACTTGGCGGGATACACCATTGTCAAGCAAAAACCATCCAAGGTCTTGTATTCACCCCCCATCCGTGCGCAGCACGTGGAACTTGCAGTCAAACTCGCGTTGTAGGCTCACCAAGAAGTGCTTAAACTTTAGGGTGGCAGCATCGTTGGACTTGGACAAAACGATGCGGCAATAATTCGATCGTTGTTCAATAGAGTTAACCAGATAGCAATTTTCCAAATAATCACGTGGAATCATCAGACCCTTAAGGTCGGAGATATCACTCCTCCTATCACGTTGATATAAGAGTTAGCCCCCGTATCTTTTCTTGGCTGTGCTAATTTGCTCTGTTTTCCTTGAGCGCAAGCCAGGCACTTCACACGTTTCGTGTCCGTCAGCCTTATGCCCGATCCCGGGTCCTTGGTCATTTTGACGATAGTGTCAAGACATAGGTGCCCCAGCCGGCGATGGAATTGCATCGAGGTATCACACTGAACATCCGAGTCGGAGTCAAATTCAGGTGAATTGGAAACAGCCATCATCCTCTCTCGAGATGTACAAAATTGTCCCTCCTGTGATTTTGCACTGCAACGACCAGTACATTGTTGCACATATCCACATCCATCACCGGGACAACACCAATTCCCGGGGTCAACACGCATTTCCCTCCCCTATGCTCTAGTATGCAACCCTTAGCTTCGAGCTTTCCATACGAGAGGATGTTCCTCTCGAGGTTTTCGGCGTACTGAACATCGAGGAGCCTCAACGAGTTCCCCTCCCCGAGTACAAGGACTTGAATTCTCACAGTCCCTCGGTGGGTGATCTACAGCACACTTTCATCGGAGGCTGCGGTCAGACATTTCCTTTGGCAAGGAGTCAATTCGGTGAGCAGACTGAGGTCGTTAACCAAATGTCGGCTAGATCCCGTGCCGAGTATCCACTGACTCTCGTGGATACCCGTGCTGTCGTTGATCGCGCAGACGAAGTTCGCTTTCGATTTCTTCTTCTTTTTTCGCTGAGGACACATCACCCTTATGGTCCCTACTTATCCGCACAAGTGACAGTCTCGACTGTCACTTCTCTCCTGGCTCGTAGGTTTGAAATGGCCTTCATATCCCTCGGATCTTCCACAACGCTGACGACGTCCAATCCGAGGTTCTTGGCATGTGTGTCCGCCTCAGTAGACTGCGCAAATTGTACCAATTCTTCCGCTTGGCATTGGTGGTCCGCTCGATGAATGTTCAACCTGGACAACATTGTTGTGCGCATGTGCGGATCGGCATAGTAGACAATGTTGTCCAGCACCAAGCTATCTGTACTGCCGCAGGCATCGCTGACAGCCGTTATATGCAAAAAGTGGTTTGTCCAGCTTCTGTGCGACGCCTTTGGTGCCGTGAAGAGCTTCCTGCTTTGCGCAGGCGATATCTTGGTGCTAAAGGTCTACAACATCCTCGCCATCGCATGCTCCAAGTTTTGGTTTTCGCGCCACCAAGTCTCGACCTGCCGACCGTCATGCGTCTGCGCCTTGCACGCCAGTTGGTATCCAGGGACATCAAACTTGATGTTCTCCGGCCATCCGAACCCGTACGCGCGCTCCGCTAAACCAATCTGACGGAAAAATTTCTTGGCCCATCCAAGGAATCCACTACCTGGACCATGGTAAAGTTCCTTGCCGTCAAAAGGTTGAATCGCAAGTTTCCGATGGCGTGCGCCCAGCATTCCTGCAGCTTGCAGCCCAGGGTGTATATACACCGCCTTCGGCATACCCACTCCGGGGTAATAGCCCGCAGGCATCTATTGCCTTGGGTGTGCAGGTCCAGGTGCTGGACCCATGTTGAGGTCCACCAAAACCGGGTTCACTGGTCGTCCATCACCATTCCCATCTATGTGATGCCTTGCCCCGAAGTATGTCGCTGGCGACACATACGGGGACCTTTTGAAAGGAGGGGTACGCTCCAAGGCTTAAAAGGACATCCTCAATCCTACTCCCAGGGCCGAGTCAAATAATGACTCCGGTCGCCCCTGCCGGTCCTTGCCACCTTGCTCCTTCTGAGAGACCGCCATCCAATTCATCCGTTCGGATAGGTCCCCGATCATGTCTAACACTTGGTCCATCGCCCCTATGGGCGCCGCTGACTTTTCTTTCAAGTGGCCATCGGTAGCCTTGTTTTAACCACCGAACACCACAGCAGGTGCAGCTTGATCGGCCGCACCACCAACACGCTTCGTTGAGCTCATAGCCTGTTTTTTGTAAGGTGTTCGTCGCATGCTTTTGTGCAAAAGATGTAGGAAGTAAAAGTGAAATATATAGTGCTAAGAACTGCCTCCTTCAACACTACGATACGTATGACCAGAAAAGGAAACTGCAACTTGACCATGTAAAGTCACAAATGGTGTCCGTGTCTCCTTGTCCCATGCGACATCCTGTCACATGAAGTCCGTCTCTCGCAGTCCCATGTGTCAATTTGTCACATGGCGACCGTCTCTCCTCATCCCGTCGTAGTCCCACATGTCACGTTGTGTGGTAATCATCCAATCAGTTGACACCGTCCCACGGTATTGCACTTAAACATAGAAAACTGTCAAACACGATAGTTTCTAGCATTTTAGTCATGTATAAAGTACAGGGGAAAAGATTTTTGGCAGCTTTGATGCCTAGACTATAGCCAGAGAACTTTGGTCATTTATTGAAGTACAGGGGTATTTTCGATTTTTCGGCATTTGTCAGAAGTATTTTACTACTCTTCCCTTATACATACATGTGTCATTAAATATCATGTGAACTTATTATGAAAAATTTGCGACAATAGGTTCAGGCGGAACTAAGGTCTCAAGTGAGAAAAAAGGCGTGGCAGAAAAACTTCGATGTAATATCATCAATGTGCGTAATTATCTTTTGCTTGCACAGCCATGTGAGGCCTATCTAGCGTCTCTTGCAGGTGCAAAAACTTTGATATTTGCTCATCCGATAAATTATGGTTAGAAACTACAAAAAAGTCGCTCAAAGAAGTACCGCGCAGGTGAGACCCAAAACGTTCGGATAGATTATTCTCATGCTGTTCAGTACAATAACTGAAATGACAAACTCAAAACAATAGTCACCAAAGCTTTAGCAATCAACACGCGGTTTCTAGTGTCCATTCAACATCAAAATCACAATTTATAGCGGATAGCAATTATGGCAACGACCCTGCGGTTTGGTAACAGTATTTTTGCTGCTCAGGCAGTCTATTAGTAGTCTGTTGCTAGTTAGCATGTAAAAAGTTACCAGGTTTCCCATACAAAAACAGCGATTTTGTTCCGGATGAGTACGAAACTCTACTGATTGAAAGATAGGTATCCAGAAACCACACCTTTTCATAAGACATCGGGTAAACGGGTTGATAGGATGAGAAGTTTTATCGCCTTTTTTGGGAAACAACAACACCGTTTTAATAACGATATTGTGGAAAGAAGAATACTAGCCTTACCACTAGTCTTGATTGAAAAATACGAATTTTAAACCGATTTCCGATCGTGGAAACCGAGAGAGGGAGTCCTAGTTTGTCTAAATTGTAATGATCAGGGTTCATTATGTAAATGAGACGGCTACCATGTAGACCGCTTGCCAGGATCGCAAACGAGCTTGTAAGCGCATGTGTCATAAAGCTCACCTACTCGAGCACGATCGCGAGACCGGATAACGATCACAAGCTGAATCACAATGACCAGCAAAATGATGATGTTTTAGTGGATAGTGATTGCAGATTCGATCACGATCGCCAACTCGATAAAGATCGCCCGCTTAGTTACTACCGCCGACACGATTACGATCGCCAAATCGATCACGATCACAAGATGAATAGTGATTACAGACTCGATAACGATTCTTTACTCAGTCACGATTGCCAACTTGATCATGATTAAAAGTTGGATTTGATCGCAGACTCAATCACGGTCGGCAACTAGATCAATATCGAAAGTTGGACAGTGATCGCAAGCTCGATGCAATCATAACTTTATCACGATTGCCGACATAGTTACGATCGTAATTTCGATGGGTTGTACTACACATTATCAGGGACAATCGTTGAAATACAGAAGACAGTACGGCAGACTACTTTAACATATAGGTAGGTCTATTAGTAGTCCTTGGAGATCGATTAATCAACAATATCCAGCGTTCAAGCTGCTTTCATACAAACAAGCGCTATACTTCGTTAGGGTTTGAAATTAACAACCATCTGAATTCAGCAATCTACGACACCACGTAACAGGCATTACTCCTGAAATTTCTTAGTCTGGAGTGCAAGGACTTTTTAACCCACTGTAAGTGCTATTGGACGTAGCAAAACACGCAAGAAAAGATCGCGAGATGGATAAAATATTAAAAGGTAAGTATAAAAGATATATTCGTTCGGATCAGGCGATCAAGGCATACCGCGGTGACTCTGGGAGAGTGCTACCGAAAAACGCGAATGGGTGAAGAATTGTCGCCTGGCAAACACCAATCTCTAAAAAGTAAAGTTCAGTATCGAATCAATTTCATTAAAAAGGATAAAAAAACGCCCTACGGATGGGATAACAAGGTGAGAGAGTAAAAATAGTCCACGCAAACAGAGTACCCACCAGATCGCCTATCTGTCGTTGGTGTGCCAGTGAAGAGTCTGGACTTTCTCACAAATGAGCGAACCCCACTGCACCACAAATTTGGCGAGCACAATTAACAAGAAGCAGAAAACTCACCTGCTTGTCCTGTCTCTATCCTTTTTGGCATGAGCTGTGTCAAACTGACACTTCATGCAGTCTAGATAATGCCCCAGCTGTGCAAGACAGCGATCGTGGTTGCGATCATGAACAACGTAATTAGCATAGTCGAAATGCACTAAATTTTTGGACTTTTTGAAGTCATTCTACGTAGTAATTTAGGCCGTAATTTGTCAGTCTTTATCGCTAATGCATTTCGCTCGATGCATTTTCAGGGTGGTTTTCTGCCTGTACGTGTGCTCATAGAATGGGTTTGCTATTACGACCTATGACTTTTCCATCGCACAGAACCAGTAGTTGTCCAAATGTAGGTACTGCAGACACATTGATCCATGATAATTTGAACAGCCCGCCGACCTAAGCAGCCTGAGAATCTGTTTGCTCACTAATCTGCTGTTCATGGCTGTTTTACGCTATCTGTAAAGCATAATCGAAAAGTCACGATTGGGATTGCAGTGCATTTTAACTTGATTATCGCTATCCTGAAGGGTGAACCTGTGTAGGAGTGGGTTGTCAAAACTGTGCCGGACTGCCGACTGTCGGAGGGGGGCCGATACCGATTGTGGACCTTGCAATCACCTTGTGTACCCGTCTGCTGGCGGGTTTCAATCTTCGGAGGACTAGGTGGTGATTGTAGACGTCGACCTTGATGAAGATCGACTTAGGGGGGCAAGCGGATGTGCTTCAGTCGGGGTCAAAATCAGGCGGCCACTCGATCGACTTGGTCGAGAGTGGTCTTATGACCAGTTATCTCAGGTTCTGGTAGCGCCTGGCCTTTGCTTGTCTCAGGAGTGTTAACCGACTTTCCTTTATGTGTTTTCTCCCTAACTACTAGGGTATGGAGACCGCTTTCGATAGCGGGCTTGAGTTTGGGGGGGTGCTACTCTACGAACCCACAGGCCAATGTACTTCCTAGGAATTCTACTTACGCTTGTGTCTTACTGACAACTGTCTATTTGACGGGTGGGCCAAACCGATCCCTGGCCCGGAATACGTCGGTAGACTTACAAGTTTCTTAGCGGAAGACACGCCGTGCTACTTAGATCGCAAATTGAGTATTATTCAATGTTTCGCTATCCTTTAAACTCTTTTACTCTACCTTGCCTAGCACCTGGGTTCTATATGATGAGTGGCCAGAAGCCACCAGACCTTGAGGGGCCAAGTCGACCTATGGTGACAAAATCGGCCGATGGGTGGCCAGGCCGGCCTACGGGGAGCCGGGATCCAAATTGGGCGGCCAAGCCGATCGAAGAATGGTTATGGGCGGTCCATACCAGTACTGTTAAACTGGTTTCGTCGGTCGGCTTGACCCCATTAGCAGTAATCTTAACCGCTCGTCACGGTTGGAACCAACGACCTCTCCTTACCTGTGACCCCCAAGTCTTCGGTCCATTCCCCGGCCGCGAGGTCCCACGTCTGTCTGGATACATTGACTTCTTAAGTCCATCATTTCCCGAAATCTTGCTTCACCAGAGTACCCTATTGAGACCTTGCTGGCGCTTACATATCGATACCTGTGCCGGATGGTGAGCGCTATAAAGATGATAGCTCCCCTTGAAAGAAATCTTGACGTCTTAGTGGGGCTCCTCCGTCTTAGTGTAAAAATTAATATGTGTCATGTCAACTTGGTCATAGAACCCTCATCTGACGGAGCATGAGATGAAGTGTTTGTAAATGAACCCGATCCAGCTCCGCGGATTCCAAGATAGTTTAGGTGAAAGCCTTTGTTCTACGCCAGGTACTCGAATTCTGAGCGCGTGGTCTAGCGTCGAAATGACCCCCCCACTTGGGCTTGAATGGTGCTAAAAAGGCACAGCCTGTCCTCACTCCTGAGAAAACGTGGAATGAATGTCGGCAAACCCTTCGGAACACAGAGTTGCCTTTCAAATTTTCCCAAGATGATGGACTGCTCATCATCTGTGCCAGCCCTCACTTTATGATGTCTAACGGAAGTCCCGGATGTTCCACCGTCCGCTCGAAGACGGGTGACGTCATCCCCGGATAAAAATAAAGGATTAAGCACAGCCTTATCAAACCCTGGCGTCCGGTTGCTGACACGTGGAAGATCAGTACTGGGTTCCACCTTTCCTGACGGGACGACCTCAGTTCACTGGCTCAGGACTGGGGAATGGGTTCGCACTTGTGTTTGCTTGCAAAACGTAGCACGATCTTATCAAATGCCCACTTCGTGGTGAAAAGCTTGCGTGTGATCGCTGCGGCCATTTGTTTTTAATCCGAGAAGCTGACGCGGCTTTTGACGTAAAACTGCCTACTCGGCTCGTACAGGGTTGTCTGGTAAGAAAATGCGAGAATATGACTTACTGTAACACACCACGCTTGAACTGGCCCATGACTTGGAGAGTATGGCATCTCCTCCACTAGGACATTTAATTTATGGCCCTCCACCAACTTGCTCATTTTTGACTCGAACGAGAAGTCGCTGACTCCGAACGCGTCCTCTCTGGATTGTAGAAATCTGCCCGTAGCTGCGCAGCAGAGGCAGAGTCTCCGATAATGTTTCCGCCTGCCTCTAGGGTAACGGGGTAGCCCGTTACATGAACTTGACACCGAAAGGTGTCAATAGGGAGATTGTCTAGCATGACAATAGCCAACCAATATCATCCGAGGTGGATAATATTGAAGGATGATTATCCCTTTGTAGATAATATTCATGCGCTGCTCAAAGATTGGTTAAAAAGACATAGTCAACCATAGGTTACCACCAATCGCTGCTAGACGCGCGCAATGAGTGGTGAGCAGGTTGTCGTGATGCGACAATGTAGGTTACTATATTTAGATAGACTAAAGTTATATTGATAGCTTAACTTCAATTAATTAAAGTTCTCCTTTTTACCCTTTACTCAACTAACCTGTTGAGTAGAATAGCTCTCCTCTGCCCGTACTGCTGTACGTGAAGTTTTGTGGCACCCCAAACAAAGGGTGCCCTGTTACATCTAGCCCGACCCGGTCGCCGCCTTCGCCAGGTGTTGCGGTTTCCCCAACCAGGTCGCACGTGGTCAGTCCGGCCGGCCCCCGGCGGCCTCAGTGGGTTCTTCGGATTCAGTGTTCGCACCCTGCGAACCGCCATCCGTGGTTTTAAACCGCCACCTGGCGGAGGTAAGGAAAGGGGCGCCATGGTGCACTTATTTGCCATTTTTTTGACCAATTGTAATCCGCCGTGATCTTGTGTCTCTGCTCTGCAGATTGGTGAGTGATTTGCGCTCTGTTCATACCGACCTCGAGATTCTTGAAGATTCCTTATCCTTTGACGCAGTCTTGATCGAAGGCCAAATTGGCTTCTAGATTATCGTACACAGGTTCAAACTGCCGCTCCATCTCACGTTTAATGGCGATTACAGAATGAGCCAGTCGCATCAAGATCTACGCCTGGCGAACTAGAGTCATTGCGGATTTCACATGGACAAAAGTGCATTGCAATCCATGAGATCGTCCACGTGTTCAGGCCGGAATCTATGATCAATTATTAGGTTACATTGTTCTGGATCCGGTACATCCGTAAACTGTCGTCGGAAGTTGTTGTCGGATGGAAAGAGCATCGATGCTAGTGCTTGTCGTCGGATAAAACAGCAGTTGGTGGACTGTTTTGATACATTTTTCCTATCTGAAGTAGCTGCTTCGTCATTCTCCTCTGGGGTCCTTGTCAATCGTTGCTTCGTCCGTACCGCATATCGACCTGTTCATTGTGCTTCTGAAGCCTTTGCTATCCGACACGACACTGCTTTCCAACCCCGTCTTCGGATAACTCTCACTTGCTTCATAGAACTCCGGCCTCTTACAGGAGTGAGCAATACGCCACATTGACCACTCCTGTAGCTTGTCCAATGAAGCTACGTATGTTATTGCTTCATTGCTCTAGCCTTTGTTTTTTCGCTTTGAGAGCAGCATTTTTAGCCCATCTACACACGTAAACCCAACGGCCTCTGCTTGAGTCGAGACAGTGCAGCCATTGTACTTTGCAAGCACCACGGCAGCGGTGAATCTATGCGGTGTCACATCCAGTGACCGTTGTATCAAACGCGTCTACATGAAGTCAGCAGCTCTATCGTTTAGCTACTTTGGAGTCATCAAATACTTCTGCTTCCTAGTTGACGTCTCGTCCACACACGCAATGGCACAGATACTCCGCGCAAAGCTCGCAAGCATTAACAACGAGCACACGCGATAGACTACAACTTGGATGTTCCAGTGCAAACGCTTCGTTCCGCTTTATACATCGGTACGCTAGCAATGCTTCACTAACTGAGAGCTCGTCATCCAACACGTCGAGCATCAACCGCAGGCCGAGCGCGCGGTCTTTAGGTGTATAAGCATTGACCTCGGTGGACACAATCACTAGTGCGTTCGCCGCATTGAAAGACCGACAAACGGAGTAGACATGTCGATGAACTTCCGAAATCCAGGCTGTCTTTGAAGACGCTTTCCGCACAAGGTCCTCGCCTGTTTGGCGACTATATATAACCCTACGAAGTGACGATGACGCACCAAGACCTCTATCAGTGTACACTCGATATCGTGCCATCGCTCGTTTATCCCACGAGGCAAACAGCGCACTCTTCCATACAGTGCCGCGGTGGTTCAAGCCGCAAATTCCAAGGAGATTGGTCAGGAATGCGTAAGTTACGCTTCGCCAAGTCTGTCCCACCAGCTGACGGCAACAGCCCTACCCCTGAGCAACTTAACGGCCAGAATCTGTAGCGTGAGCCGGCACCGTATCATTTCACAGAGTTGTTTTTATCCCTGTGCTCAGTTAATTCTCCACGCAAAGTGCACTGATGTGCTCTCGACCCAGCTGTTTGGACATAAACGAGCTCGCCATTCGGTTAATAGTCTCATCCAGTCCATGTCGCGGGTCGCCATTCGTCATTTGCCACTTTGCCGCTTGGAAGCGATATGGACTCTGCCAAGCTGCTTCCCGTGGCCCGTTTGGTCTGCCCAATAGGGGCTTCAATCAGCGTCCTCGTGACTATGGTCACGTGCGTCATTATTGTCAAAGTGAACCACATTTGGGTCAGTGGGCTCACGTGGCCCTTCCTCTCCGACATGGGGCGAGGTGCGCGTGACTCGGTTTTTGTCTTGGTGTTTGTATCGAATCGAGGTTCATTGGGTTGAATTGACGATGATGGTGTTCACTTCTGACTCGGGTGTAGATTACCCGGCTTACTACGTGTTTGCCACGGGGCTCACGATTGTTTCGGTACTGCTTGTAATCACCTGGACGCTCAATTGGCGCTACCACATGTCGGCTCTGCCGCCGGACGAGGCCGTCTATCGAGCAATTTCGTTCGTCGCTTTCATCGCTGGTGTCATGGCGAACCCAGGTCTTCCGATTCTGGTGGGTCGCAACAAGTGAATATGGACCGCTCTGTTCTTTACTGACGCGTTGTGAGATGGCGATGGTGACTGTGTGGCAGGCATACTTTGATACGTCCAAGCACTCGAAGCTTCATGCCGCGGGGGCCGAGTGGTTTTTCTACATGGAAACCATTGCCGTTCTGCTGAACGTACGTGAACTGTTGCTGCTAGCAGCTCCTGTTAGTCGAGGCGTTGTTTTACTTCCAGGTCAACTGTTTCTTACTTTTTTTCATCTTTGTGTAGACTATCGTAAGCTACAAGCTGTACAAAATGTTGACAGGGTTGCGAATGGACCTAGAGAATTCGTGTTCTACCGTGGGATCAAAACTGCAGAGGAGGAGAAAGACGTTAACGATTCAAGTGCTCTTCTTTTCGCTGTTTTTCGTGGCTTTCCTCCTCTACATGCCGATTGGAACGGCAGTGGCACCAAAGCCATTTCGTCTCTCCATCGATGACTGTATCGACAAGGGGTTAGGAGAGACGTACTGTGGGGTGACGATGCGTCTGAACTCGACCTCTACGACACTGTACGACGATGGTACGTGCTCGCTTGACAGCTCTGTGTATTTGTTCTCGATGTGGCTGACATCTTACGATCTCTCTCCGATGTTTGCTGGAATACTAGTAAAGACATACGGCACGAGCCAAATGCGGGCTGCTGCCCAACTTGCCTGCATCCTGACGCTGGTAGGATATTCAACTTCTTTCATCACAAATGACTACGACGATTCGATCGGACAGATCTTTACTCCGGATGCCAAGATTGCCGTGCTGCAGTAGAAACACGTCGTGCATTTTGGTAGATTTACTGGAAATACTAGGAACTGGTATGTTATTGACGACCAGATGGCGCATTTGCGAGCGACTGCTGCTACGAGAGAGTCTGCTCATCTCGTTCTTGTGTTTGTGGGTATCAGGCCCTGGCTTTCTTCAGCTCATTGGACCTGTTCGAGGGATCGACAGCTCCATTTTGTGGCTACCAAAATTCGACTAATGTGCCGTCACTTTACGTGTTGCAAACACTTCATGCCCTCGTCAGAAACAGAGACGTCATTTGCTTGCGTGTGGTGGGTCCACTTAACCATGAGGATCCGTCCGCTGGACCAGTTTTCGAGACGCTGCCTCCGGAACAGGTTCTCGTCCTTCTGCTGCTCGACCATTTGGTTTAAAGCAAGTCCGCTTGACTCGGCTCGATTCATCTGCTCGGACAAATCGTTTAATGCTTGCTATAGCACCCACCCTCTCGTCTTCAAATCGGAGGTGAAACGTGGCCCGGCTGCTTTGCACTTCGTCCCCTCGCCGCCTCGTTGTAACAACTGTCCCTCCAGTGTCGTAATTTCTCAAACATCTTTTCAGAGATGTCGAGATGTTCATGTGGAAAGTCATGAAAGCAGCCAACACCGTGATCCTGGCTCGTTGATTGACGATTCTGACTTGCGCCAGACCAGTTCGTCTGCTATGTCTAGATCGTACGGATCTCGTTACGTTACGTACTTATTCAAGTGTCGAGTTGACCGTCAACACTGCCGAAAGAAGCGGCTATAGTCATCTTTGTGGCTTTTACTTCGACTACGTCTCCATTATAAAACGACTCAAAGTCTATTGAATAATGTAACCTTTGGATCGGTCGGTAGAGTTACAACACGCTCAGACTTTTGGCCTCGGCTCACCATCGCTTTCGTAATATGTTCCAGAGAAGACTGACTCACAAAACAGAAAACGGCATCTATTTGTGTCATTGATTGATTGGCCAGCTTGTGTCTGGATGTGTCAGCTCGTACCTGCTGGACAGTCAGCTGTTCGTGGGGCAACATACGCATCCATACTTACCTTGAGCCCTGCTGCTTATTTCGGAGGCTGATTGTTGATTGCCAATCGAAAGCATCTCATCGCTACCCAAAGTCCTCATGCTCAAAGTTTAGCGACAAACTGGGCCTTTTCCAATGCTACCGTTGCATAATCACGATATCGTTCGTTGTGAAGCATAGCCAAGTCGCTCGGATACACTCGCGAGCAAAATGCGCACGCTCTCCACTGCGCAGTTCAAGCGTAATCGTCACTGCTCTGTATGGAAGTGAGTCGGTCGCTTTGTCGACAAAGAGACAAGTGTGTCTCCCATAAGCTACGAAGTCGAGAAAAGGCCGATGTAATAGACGTTCCATGTGACATCTTGCTGTCTTGTAAGACGATGTTACATGGAGGACGCAACATGTCTACGTTTCGTTGCAACAAGATCGAGGCATTGACGTTGTCACTCAGCTGGCACCAGCCACGTGCATTGTGCATCGGTCAAATGAGGCAGTCGTAGCAAAAAAAAAAAAGGGAATTTGAGTCTGATTCAAAACTCAAGCGTAGTTTCTACAGCACAAATGAAAACAACAGCAAGAAAGATAGGCTGCATTACATCCATGTGCACCAGGTAGTTTTGCTGTAGAGCAAGCACTTCACCTCCCTCTAGCAACATCATATGACTGCAGAAAGGGCCCGAGTTTTAGAGACGGATGAGGGGTATTGCCCGTAACAATGTTGTGAAGCCACATTGATCGACGAATGGTAGGCACTGGAATTGGCAGCCAGTCAGGACATGGACATTTTCAATCCATTAATTTGACACTCGGACATGGACACGTTTGTGCTGACCAAAACGGTGCCGTTTGATTGATTATCGTCTCGATCAAATATCACGACCAACGGATGTCAGCGACCAAAACTTCACCACATGACGCTACGTTACATGCCTTCCCATCATTATGTTCAGGACCGAGCAACCATCACAGCAAACGACAGCGGGGCAACAAATGTGAAACTAAAGACTTTTGCTTTGATTCAAACAGGTCAGTGGAGGACAAAAATGTGTGAAAGTATGAGCAATGTTATTTCCATACCCTATGGTCGTCTCTGGACGTAGGTGTCAAGTTCCGTGCCTCCCGTCAATCGCATTTATGTTAAGCAAAGTGCTCGTATTATCAAGTCACGTTCCTTTTCGTTCGGTTGGTCTGCAAGCGCACTAAAGGGCAAGCCGCGACGGTGGCCAAGCTGCTTACGAGCACAGTAAATATGTAGCACTCGTCTCATGGGCACACTATCCCACAAAGCATAATTAGTACGGCGGTATATATTGTAAAGATTTCGCCATAATGTGATCATTTATTGTTAGCCCGAAGGGTGAAGCTCTTAGTGACAATGCAGAAATTAAAAGTCGAACATTATAAGAATTATCCGTGAAAAAAGGTATTAAAATGCCCTATTCAATCACAAATAATGCTCCAGATCATTGGAAATAAAAACGCCACAAATGATAAGTAAAAAACATGCCTCACGTCCAAGTATACTCATGTTAAAGTGGTAAACAAAAACCCACGTCTTCAGTCATTTTTCATGAGTGATTTTCTCCTCGATCTCGACCGCTGCTCTATAGGAGCAGCCCCGAACGGGGTTCTGCGCGCGCGCGGACGGCGATGGGAAGACGTGGCACGTGTTCCAATCGTCGTCCGCAGTCTTACACACAGACTACCTGTGCTGCTGTTGTTGGAGCGGGCTAAGAGATAGGAAGTAAATTGAGAACTAAATGTATTTGAGCTTATGTCTTTGGTTACCTATGCTGTCCGTTACCTTCACTGTCTGTTACCTTCAATATCCGTTACCTTCAATCTCTCCTGCGTAGATTTCTTCAAATCACCTTGCCCAACCCAATGGTTGCGTCGTTTCACCATCACATATGTCCTATCCCATCAACAGTCGCGCCCTGTCACATCATTAGTCGCACAGTTTCAACACTCCTTCCCGTGTGGACATGCTTAACCACTGAGCATCATCAGTCCACGTAGCTCGCTAAGTCGGGGTGCTGGGAGGGTCTTGATCAGGATGTCCGCACGCATTTTCTTGAACTCGGTATACTGCACGGTCAGCAAATCTTTTTTTGCAAGATCTTTTGCAAACTTGTATTGCACGTCGATGTGCTTCGCTCGCCCAGATGTGTCTTCGCCCTTGATTTGAGTGATGGCAGCTTGGTTATCCACGTGTAAAGTCGTACATGACTGCATCTGCACGCCGATTTCCTTGAGCAATTACACGATGCCTATCATCTCAGCTGATGTTTGCGAAGCCGCCACATACTCGGCTTCCATCGTTGACAATGCAACACATTTCTGTTTCTTGCACATCCAGCCTACAATCATGCCGCCCACCATGAACACTACCGCTAACCGACTTCCGGTCACTCTTGTCTGCAGCGTAGTCGGCATCGCTGAATGCCTCGACTACCACGCCGTCATCTTTCATTAAGTCCTTGTCTCCCTTCATCACAAAATCTAGTTTCTTGGTGCCCTTGAGATATTTTGCGATCTTCTTTGCTAGACGCCAATCGCCTTCACTCGGTGCGTGCGAGCGACGAGTCACTCGGTGCACCGCAAACGAAATTTCGGGGCGTGTGCATCGAGATAACCATAACAGACTACCGACTATCGACTGGAAAGTCTGTACATTTGGTCTTTTCGGCGAACCTTTCCCATTAGAAGGTAGCAGCGCACCTTCTTCGACTCCATCGTCTCCGCCGATTGGCACCCTGACCGCTGCCGACTCGACTAATCCGAACCTCTCGAGCATCTCATCAATTAGTGGTTCTTGGTTCAGTTTCCGCCCATTGTCGTCATCGTAACGAAACAATATACCAAGGAATTTAAACACCATCCCAAGGTTCTTAAGCTCAACCACTTGCATGTCATTAAAGCAATCTCTGACCTTATAAGAATGGTTGCAGTCGCCAGCACATCATCAATGTAGATTCTAACGAGCGTTTTGCCGTCACTATCATCTCTATTGTACAGGCAACTATCCGTATAGCACTGACAGAAACCCAGGGACACGAGTATGTCGTGGAGCATCAGGTTCCACAATTTTCCAGACTGTTTAAGTCCATACAGACCCTTTTTTAGCTTCAGTGCAAGATGTCCCTTAATTTACACTCCGAACTTGTCCAACAACTTGGCCTCAAAGATCGATACCTATCGGAAAATGGAGAATTATCTCCAAGCCATCTTCTTTTTCGGCTTTGACATAAGCACTCAGCACATCGCCGTGTTGCGCAGGCACTCCCCAGATTCTTGAAACTGCAAGAATCACTTTGCCAGAAACCATTTTCATAACGACCGAGAAAGTGCAGGTATAATCGATACCATATACTTGTTCATCTCCCCGCGCCACCAGCCTCGCCTTGTATCTTTCGATCGTGCCGTCAGCGTGCATCTTGAGCTTGTAAACCCACTTACTATAAAGTAGCTTTGCTTTACGTGGCTTTCGTATCACTTCCCACTTATGGTTCTGCTCCAATGCGTCAATCTATGTGCGCATTGCCTCCTTCCAATGCTTGACTCGAGGGTCCTTCATCGCCTCGTGATAGTTCTTGGGGTCTTTAATCGTGATAGCTTTCACACTATAGACCGGCACGTGCTTTGTACCCATGTTGCGTGTCTGCATCCGAGCTTGCGTCCGTCCGTCCTCTGGTAACTGCTCGACCTCACCTCCATCTCTTTTCATTCGGGATAGAGTTGTTACTTGACACAAAATTTTCGTCTGCCTTCAAACCACTCTTCCTTAAATTTGCAGGCTCCTTCCGTGTCGGGGTTTCACCACGATCCATCTCGGCGCGCCGCAGCATGAAATATTCGTGTTCGATCCGTTTTTGTAGATGAGAGTTCTGTGCGCTGTTAAGCGTTTCGACGTTACGTAGATGCTAAGTAGTGATCACAATTTTGTCCGTCGGCAGGTAGACTTTGAATCCCTTAGTTTCGTCATTCTTGCCAATAATCATTTCAACTTGAGATCGTGACTTCCATGCTTTCTTCCCAGGATTATTGAACGTTGAGCAAGAGCTCCCAAATGTTACAATGTCTGCCATGGCCGGAATTGTTCTGGTCAACATTTCTAGCGGCGACAGGCGCTTGGGGTTAGCGCTACACGAGCTTCGATTCAAAACATAGGCAGCGTACTCAACGGCATCCCCCCCAAAAGAATAAAGGTAGCCCGCTCGCAAATAGCATGCATCTTGCCATGTTGAGTATCGTCCTGTGCATCCTTTCAGCGTTTCGGTTCGATGCCTGATTAAAGCCTCACTCACTTGGCGCCTTACACCATCTGACTTGCAGAACATGTCGACATTGACGTACTCCTTGCCACTGTCCGTTCGCAGCACATAACTCGACAATAAACTCTATCCTCGAAATAAAGCAGAAAAAGTTTGAAGTCCTTTGTCGCCTCAATCTTGTTTATTGGCCAGGAACACGCAGACATAATTTGTTAAGTAGTCGACGAAGTTAATTAGGTAGAAATTACCACGTCGATCTAGTGGTGTCATTGGTCCCTTAATACCACTGCCGATCACACCACCAGGCTTGTCAAAACGAGCGTTCTTGCCTGTATCTTTCTCGGACTGATTATTCTAGCTCTGCTTGCCTTCTGCAAAAGTAAGACAATTAGGCCTGGCTCGGTCCGTCTGGTGAATACCCGATCCTTTAGAGTCGGCCATGCGATAGGCAGTATCGTACCCAAGATTACCAAGCATCTGATGCAACTCCGCACGAGTTGTACTCAATACAGCTTCATCAATTCCATCGTAACCTTTTAGCAAGGCTGAGTTAACAACTTGAACTCGCGCTTCCTTCGTTTTCTCACCCATTACGTCGACTGTTAACACGTTATTGCGGCAGAATACTTCGAATATCTTCAGGCCATTCTCTTGACGTACCACATAGCTCTGATTGCCGTCTCTCTCGAGATACATACCACGCTCTTCCAATATGTTATAGCTAATGATATTATCAGCAAGGTTCTCAGCATAATGAACCTCGCTTAGTTCAACTATAACCTCCTTGCCATTGACAGCCGTCCTCAGCTCAGCTGTTCCCTTCTTAGTCGCTCAAACCATCGTGTTGTTCGCCGCGCGTCACGATTGATCACAATCAATTGTATTCTTGAGCATTTTCAAAATTTTTACAAGGTGCACGCTCGACCCGCTGTCCAATATCCACGAGTCATCGTCATCTTTTGTTCCAATCCCAATAGCTAACGCGACTCTATTTGAAGTCGCCTTTTCACCACTTCGTTGCTTCGGGCACTTGGATTTGATGTGACCAGTCTCACCGCATCCTATACATGTACGTGTGTCGGTACTTGCAAACCTTGCTTCATATCTTCATCCACGCCCGACTTGATCTCTTCGAGCACTGTAAGGGTATTGAACTGCTTGCTCGCAAATTGTTCGTCCTGCTAGGCTGCTTACTCCTTCGGCCCTCGTCTTTTCCATGCTGATGTCGAAGTCTATCGCAAATGCAACGAGCTCAGCGGCTTGCACTAGACAGTCCGTTCTTTGCGCATTCAGGCTTGTCAGCATTGAAGTCTTAATGTGTCCAGGCGCTGAATTACAAAGACATTTAAAACACTCTTCTCCGAGTTGCCAGATCGCTCCGCCACGTACACTAAGTACTGGTAATGCTCAGGCCATGTCTTGCTGTGCTCTTTTTCTCTCGCCATGAGATTAATTTTTTTCGTAGATGGTAGCGGAGTCATGTACAGCATCAGCATGCTGTTCATGACGTGCTCTAGTGTGTTCGACACAGCACACCATACCGGTAGCATCTTCTCGTAGTAGCTAAAAGCCGAACCTTCCAGCTTACCTCACAATGCAAGGATCTAAAACTCTTCTAGCCAATCACCCCTGCTCATCATCTGTGCTACGCCAAGCCGTTGCAGGAAGCGTATTCCCCATGCTTTATAGTCGGCACCCACACCTAGATATGTCTCTTTACCCGTGAACTTAGCAAATATATGCCAGTCCAGGTTTCTGGGTTTAGGTATCTTCAACCCATAATTATTTGGTGTCACGAAAAGGGTGAGACGGTTCAAGTGACCGATACCGCTCGTCTTGCTGAGGCGGCTGATTCGGCGGCACGCGCATTCGTTGTGGCGGCTGGTGAGGCGGCGGCATGCGTGCTTGGTGCATCGGCTAGTCGAGTGAGCCCATCCTCATTCGACGGTCACGCGCTCGAATAAAGTCAATAAACGCGTTTGATCCGTTGAATGGTTGCTCGTAGGATGTTGTAGGCGCAGCTTGAGCGTTTCGGCTCATCTGATCTTGCATCTTCAGCTGGTTTTTCATGAACTGGGCTTGCTGCTGCGCCATCCCTGCGAGGAATCCCTCAAGTCTATCCATTCGCTCAGAGCCCGAGTCAGGGACACAACTCGCGCTATCTTGGGCCTCGGGGGTGCCCGGGGCTGATGGCGTCTCTTCGCGCAGCACGAAAGGATCAGTGACCACGTTGAGAGTGGTTGGACCCGTATCAGCGGCAAAGCGTGCCTGGGCGTGCTGACGAAGAGGTGAGTTGTTCGCGCTTGAGCTCATAACCTGTTGGAGCGTGCTAAGAGATAGGAAGTAAACTGAGAACTAAATGCATTTGAGCTTATGTCCTATGCTGTCCATTACCTTCACTGTGTGCCACCCTTAATATCCGTTACCTTCAATCTCTCCTGCGTAGGTTTATTCAAATCACCTTGCCCATCCCAATGGTTGCGTCGTTTCACCATCACATATTTCCTGTCCCATCAACAGTCGCGCCCTGTCACATAATTAGTCGCACTGTTTCAACAGCTGTAATTTTCGTTGATGTAATAGGCTTGGTTCTTGTTGTCATTGTTTCAAATGTTATCATTGTTATTGCTGTTCCAATTGCATCCGTTTTTATTTTAAGTGCTGTTACTGCTGCTACTGCAGGTACGCTGACGCTGCTATTGTTGTTGCAATAGGTACTCGCTTGAGATTGATGGCACTGCCGCTTTATGCTGAATGTTGTTGCGTTTTTGTGCTGTTTTTATAGATAAAGGTGGTGCTGCTACTGATTCTACTGTTGTTTCTGCAGGTACGCTGACGCTGCTGTTGTTGGTGCAATTGTGGTAAGGCATCTCCGATCCATCTCATTGGCTAATTTTGTCAAGAGCATTGCATCATATCAATACACCCGATGAATCTGTACTTTACGAATCGTACAGCATATCGATTATCAGTATCGCACATCATTGCCGACTCCTTCTTAGTTTGCATTTATAGCTGCTTCTATTGAGGGTCACCTCTGCTGGTCTGATACAAGATGTAGAAATAAAAAAGATCTGGGGTTTGACACACCAGCAATGGAAAGCGACGACGAGCAGCACCTACCTTGCAGCTTTTTCGATGATTGGAGCTACTCGAGCTAGAGTGACAGAACCCAGGCCGTCATCGAATTCAACAGAAGATGTAAGCGTCCGTTCTGCAATTTAAAGACTGATGGTCGACGCTACAAAGCCGAGTGCACATACGATGACTGTCTTTTTGTGGTACAATTTGCGATCTCGCACACGCTCGGACCACCCGCAAGATTATCACCACACTCTTGCCAGGTTTGCGAATCTACAAAGTAATCTCAACGGTGCACGACGGCTAAGATAATTGATGCATATTCTGCAATCGTAGAGATGGACATGACCTACGGTCGGAAGGTGACTCCTGTGATGATTCGAGTGAAGTTAAGGAACGAAGGAATTCTTGCCAATTACATGAACTGTGTCAACGCTCTCGAAGATTGAAGGTGTAATAGTTTAGGAGGTGTACTGATCAATACGGTCTGCTTCCATCCTACGTCGCATGATTGAAGAATCGAAATCACAAGATTGAGCTTGATGTTGTGGAAAATGAATTCAAGCGACTGAGTATCGTTGTTCGAGAAGAATTTTAAGCACTGAAAAGTACCCCCGGCGAGAAAAATTCGTGGATGGTACTTTCTTAACGACTTCAGTCGATAGAACTTTTTGCTTGTTGCGTGCTTTCAAAATGGAAATAGCGAGGTTCAAAGCTTTATGACTTGGATTTGTATCGATGGTTAATGAGGATAACTGGAGATGGCTTCTAAAATTCATGCTATCCCACATCAACCCGTCTATCTCATGTGTGATATCAGATAGAGACAAGGGACTTATGAATGCTATGTGGACCACGGCACCAGACATTATACACTTTCTTTGCTTCAGGCATTTCATAGAAGTTTTAGCAAAAATCACAAAACCCAAAGTGCTGAAAAATTGGCATGGACTCTGCTCCCTTTCCCGAGCGAAGCTGGAATTCGAGAAAGCAGTAGCAAAAAATGGCTGTACTAGATAACACTGCGATCTCGTGGCTTCAGGATGTGGGTCGTGAAAATGGTCGACAGCATTTTCGCCATGTCCAGGATTCAACACTTTGACATCGGGTTGTGTGACGTCAGTAAGTAGCGCGTTGAGAGGAACCCGCAGTTTTCCCATTATAGACACTTTGCTGGAAATTTATCATAACGTATTTGAAAGTCGGCTGACAAATCATAAAATGTAAAACGTTGGGTAGTACTGACTTCCTATTCCTCTCGCAAAGACGACAAATTAATGTCTACAGACTATCTGGGTGACTTTGATGCGTACTCGCGATCAATCTTTATCGTCACAAATCGACCAGGAGTGGGAAACGGCATGAATAGGTTGCATTTCAATTTTTGATAAAGTTGTATGGTGCTCGTGCGGTTGCTTCCAAGACGCGTCGGCTCACCATGCGTTTTTGCATATATATTCGAACTGAAGCATTCCTGTAAAATGACATCAATGATCGATTATTTTTACGACTATTTTACGACTCATGTAAAACAAAGACATTTTGAAATGATTATTCTATAAAAGCCGGTATCAACCTACCGCCGATCGTGCTCAAGGATCCTTTTACAAGAGGTGTGTACGATACTCCATCCATTTAAATAAAACGACGGCGTCCAAAGAAGAAAACAATCTATTCGCAACAAGCGACTATGGAAATTAACAAGCGTGAATACCAGAAAATGTGATAACTGCAACCAATTTGGTCATACCTGCAGTACTTGTGCGACGAAAGAAGGAGTATTCGATGTTTAAGTACATTTGCTATATAAATTATATGTTGTAAATGTTTATATAAGTAAATGTGCTTTAACATCGAATACTCCTTCTTTTGTCGCACAAGTACTGCAGCTATGACCAAATTGGAAATCTTCCGTTTTTATATAAAGCATATAGAACGGAAGTTTTCATCCCACATTGAATTTTACTCGCTAAATATAACCAATTGTATTTTTGTGTGGTAAAGTGGCGACCGCTTATTTTATGAGGTGCCCCGACTCCCCACTGGTCCCCAGACGACCGAATATTGGAGGGGCCACAGCATTTCCGTAATTTGTATATCCTACCTCATCTTGTGCTCCCGTATGTAAAGCGGGCTGCACTCTTTTCGGTGGACTCGTGTCGAGGAAAAAAATGACCGTGTTAGGAATGAGGTTTGTGATTGCGCGGAAACCTCTCCACGATCACGAGTATAGTTGTAGATTAATTGATGTGAGACACCTAGTTCTCATCAAGATCGCCTTGTCCACTATGAGGATGTGTGATTTGCGAGCGTTCTGAACTCTTGAGCCGTTTCGCGATCTTGCGCCTTGTCCTTTACGTTCTCGCTGCGTCCAATCGCAGTTAGGGATGTCTTGAGAATTCATAATCCTCAGCTAGTCATCCGGGGATATCACTTGGTTCAGTTTTCGCGGCTCTCTTGACGTTGGGAGGCCAACATCTCACCCAGCCCGGAAGAAAAGTCGACACGTGTACGTAGAGGCAAATTAATTCTTTTCAAAGTCAATCAAATAAAAGCTAAAACTACGAATATGCCTGTCTATACACCATCATGTGTTGTCACGTGCCTTCTACATTCCGTTGATCATTACTTCGCATACGTGGTCCACCTCAGATTGATTATCGATCTTCTTTGACCGATCGTTGATCTCCCTGACCGATCGTCGATCTCCTCAGTCGAACGTCGATCACTCGCTAGGACCGTGATCCCTGCCAATTTGTCGGTCATCTTGCCTACAGTGAACACCTCGTGCGTTCTTGGTCTTGGTATCTTGACTCGACCATAGCAACTTGATATTCGACCCCGTTGCTATGATATTTGAGCGCGGTATTGCGATATTCACTCTCGGTATCGTGGTATTTGACCTCGATTTTGCGATATTCGGTCTTAAAATAGTGCGCAACTTAACAGCCAATCGATCCTTCTCAACGAATTATCGCAGTTTGAGATCACTCCACCACCCACCGATCGCCTCCAATTGCTTCGATCCGCTTTACCACATCCATACTTGTCGATGCAAAGTCTATCAGTTGTGTTGAACAATGACAATATGCTGGATCGATTGATCACTTTGACCTAACCAAATGTCTTTTGTGTCTTGTCATTATCATTTTAAGTCTCCATGTCCATTTTGTTGTACTTAGAAGTCCTTAAGGCGCTGGTAAATTCCTTTAACAGCACCGGCATTTTCTACACCAGCACTTACATTTCTCCATCAGCACTGATACGACTATACGTCCGGTATTTTTAGTGCCTTGAATGTCACCTTTGAATTGCACGCAGCTTCGTCTACATTGCAAGTTTAGACGGCATAATCCGATCGACCCCTGTAATAATGATTGATAGGGTATATGTACATACACTGCAGGACCACAACGTCACGACAAAACTATATTAGCACGTTGTCGTTCAAGTATACGCAAATTCTTTGTTTATACTATACTTAATTCATCATCGCACGTTTTCAACAAGCTATATGTCAAGAGAGGAAGAAGCCCGAAAGCACGGAATAAACTGATAAGAGCCAACAGATATCATAGATTAACTGGGTGTATCAACATGATTAAATTTTACTTGAAAAAATCAGCCAATGAGATGGAATGGAGGTGCCTTCATACAATTGTACCTACAACAGCAGCGTCAGCGTATTTACAGTAGCAGCAGTACAGTCAGTAGCAGCAGCACCTTACTATACAAAACCGGCATAAAACGCAACAGCATTCAGCATAAGCGGCAGTGCCATCAATCTCAAGCGGGCGCCTACTGCAACAACAATAGCAGCGTCAGCGTACCTGCAGTAGCAGCAGTAACAGCAGTAACAATAAAAACGGATGCAACTGGAACAGCAAATAACAATGATAACATCTGAAACAATGACATCAGGAACCAAGCCAATAACATCAACGAAAGTAACAGTAGCACAGGTAGTCTGTGTGTAAGTCCGCGGACGGTGATTGGAACACGTTTCACGTCTTCTCATCGCCGTCCGCGCGCGCGCAGAACCCCGTACGGTGCTGCTCCTATAGAGCGGCGGTCGAGATCGAGAGAAAATGACTGATGAGAAATGACTGGCGACGTGGTTTTTTTTTGTGTACAATTTTAACATGAGTATACCAGGACGTGGGGCATTTTTAGTTTCTAACTATTTGGGGCTTTTTTATTTATCAATTATCTAAGCATCTTTTTTTTATGCTTAAACGGGGCATTTTTTCTGATTAAACGAGGTTTTTTATTTCTCTTTTTAATAACAAGGTGCTGGATGGTTCCATGAAAATCGGAAGGGTGGTAGAGGACCCTCACAATTGGTGAACACGTTTGTATGAAATGAGGAGTCGTACAGGCGTTTATCGCAACAACTTCGATCTATATCAACAACATGAGTTCTGCAGCCAACAAACATCCTAGCTTGAAATATGTCCGACTATGTCGCTCATATGCGCATCAACGTTTCGGAATGTAGAAAGCAAATGCAACATGTACTTACTCCCTTTGCTGGGCACTGGAGACGTAATGGTAAGCGTATTCTTACGCCACGATGGTTGTGTGTGTTGCACATTTCAAGAGCAAAGTAGACACCTTAAGTCAGAGTCTCTGATCGTCTTCCAGCACCTGATATTAAGCGTCGTAAAATTGTATACGATATGATCCAAAGGCAGAATAGCAACAAGTCGTTTTTGTCTCTGCTTGCTGACGATATGCAAGGACGAGACAGCAGCAGCAGTGGCATACAAAGCGTATTCTTCTGTGAAGGTTTAATAGCTACAGCGTACTGTGTCGACTAAACAGCAGTCGCGCGGAGGGAGGTCCAGCCGCACGCCTTCGAATTGTGGTCTGCAATGCCTTTTACAGAGATCTAGGCGTCATTCTTCAGGACAATTCAACCGTTCACATTGGCAACTGGTGGCTCGACATCCTTTTTGGGGTTGTCTACGCCGTTCGATGCAGTCTTGATCTTCTTTCCTGCCTTCATGTTGTGCTCCATATTCTCCTCAGCACTCTCGAAGCGCTTTCCTATCGATTTGCCATCAATTACGATAGCGTCGATCTTCTCGTCAAGCTCCTCAACCCATTTAATAAACCTTTGAAATCTCGGGCTGTTGTTTAACCACTTCTGTATGGGCTTCAGGAACTTGAAGAAGTTCTTGTGCTTGCGAGTGAAATCGTTGACCCCCTTTTCAGACGCCAACGTCGCCCGGATCGTCGCGTCCATTGCTTTGCCCGAAAAGGAAGCCGTGCTTCTTTTTACCCACGGCACCGCCCCTCCCCAATTGGCAAAGGAAAAAGTCCCTCTCTCCCCATCAGTGTTTACCTGTTCCAAAGCGTCGTGCGCCTCGGGCTTCCTCAAAAGTCTCTTTGTGTCTGCATCGATGGCATAGCCATCCGTCCCGCGATCCCCAATAATGTCGTCGCGCTTAAGAGCAGCCTTTGGGTCAACAGCGATCGGTGCCGCGTTGTCGCAAGTGCAGGAGGCGAAGAGAGCTGTTACTGCGATAGACGCCAGACGCATGCTTTGCGCAGTTTCAGTCAAAAGCGTGGGGCGCTATTAGCAAAGTGTCAAGCTTGATGTACCAGGAGCAGCACATTGTAGCTTCTCGACCTTCGAGCCAGTTCTGAACCGGTAGATTGGATATCACACTGCTCGTATTTGTACGGCTAATTCATCAGTACGGGGGCAGGCGAGTTTTGAATCGGTATTGAACTTGCCCTGTAAAAAGGCGTGCGCACGAAAAGCACTTTTGTTAAAAAAGGGTATTTTCGCTCGAATACGAGAGTAGCAAACACTTTTCTACGTGTTTTCTCGCTTGTCGTGCTTGGTCTGCAGAGCGATCGAAAAAAAAGCAAAACTCGTGTGCTCATGCTGAGACTGCTGCTATCTTGGTTACGATACTTTACATAAGCGGTCGTACTGCACAACATGCAAGTTGTCACACACAAGCAAAAATGATGCTGAGTTGCTGGAGATGATTGTCGAACACGCAAATACCATAAAGTAACGTTTGTCGCTGCAGTTTGCGGGTCAGCAGGCTGGAAGGAAGGTTGCTTCGTCGAGCCGACAACAAAAAACGACGAGACAATGCTACTGATGCGCTAAAAGGGGCCTGATAGATAACGTAAAGATAGTACACAGCGTCGATTAGTACAACGACGAAAACGGTTGAGTTTATCTTTGGCAGCGGCAAGAGCGTGAAGGTGCTAATGGTAACAGTGGATATATCGTCTTGGAGATGCTCGACATTGTGGCGCTGTCGTGCGTGAACATACGTGATTTGGAGCCTGAGGAAGGTGTCACGTTTATCGTGTACGACTCTAGCAGGTCACAATGTCGACGTATGTTCATTACTAAATAAATCAGCGACCTCATTGACTTAATTTCGTGTGTGGGAATATGTAAGGGCAACACAATCTTCACACGCCAAATGGCTCAACTTACTAGTTGACTCTGAAATAGTTACATTAACTGGTTGATACGACCAACCACATTCTGGCTAACTTGGTCCCCAGCACCAAGTGCCGGATGACGTGAGAGAAGAGGAAAAAAACTTTGTCCAGATAGGTCATTTCGTACTAAAGTTTATGTGCTGGGCAATTGCAAGTTTTTTTTGCAGTATTCGTTCGTCGAATGCTATTTTCACAGCTCTGATGTTGATCAGCAAGCTGCCATCTGGACTCGTACCGCTACTGAACATTAGATCACAGGATCAACAGCTAATATATGTATTCTGAAACTCGTGTGTGGTGCTATGGGCGGTAATGTTGGTCGTTCCTGATGGTATAAGTCGGCTGTGTCGACACGATACAGTATCATCTCGAAGCACCTCTTATCTGAAGCACGAATGTTGCTCCTCTTGGTGCAACAATCACTATTCCTTATCCTCATCTACACAAGCAGCGGATATTCAGTTCTGAAGCTACAGTAGATGAGACGAAAAGAAATTCTGCACAGCTCTCGGACGGTGCTTGGAGATCTTTTAAAAGACGGGAGGAAATTATTCACACAAGATCATCGAATGTGTGCATACAATATATTGTATGAGGTTTTGTGATCGTTGCAGGGGATGAAATCATCTCCTTCAGTCGTCTTTGTAGAGATCTACTATGCCTTCGGGTGACTGTAAAGTGATGTCTTCAGTGCCCGTCTTACATGCCCTAACTCACGCAACAATTTCAGATTCAGTTATGTGATCGTTTTAAGTGCAAAACTCGACGGGCCAACAAAGCCTTGCTTCAGATCACATTTAAACATTCTTAGAGAGGCGACGGGCCTAAAACTAATTTTCAAGAGAAAAATAAAAAAGCCCCATTTAATCATAAAAATAACATTGCCTGGTATACTGGATTAAAAAGAGATCCAAATAATTCGAAACTAGAAAAAGACCCTACGTCTTAGCGTACACACGTTATAATTGAAGAAAAAATAACAGGCCCCGCGTCCTGGTATCCTCATGTTAAAATTGTACACATAAAAAAACCACGTCGCCGGTCATTTCTCATCAGTCATTTTCTCTCCATCTCGATCGCTGCTCTATAGGAGCAGCACCGTACGGGATTCTGCGCGCGCGCGGACGGCGATGAGAAGACGTGAAACTTGTTCCAATCACCGTCCGCGGACTTACACACAGACTACCTGTGCTACTGTTACTTTCGTTGATGTTATTGGCTTGGTTCCTGATGTCATTGTTTTAAATGTTATCATTGTTATTGCTGTTCCAGTTGCATCCGTTTTTATTGTTATGATCGTTTTTATTGTTAATGCTGTTACTGCTGCTACTGCAGGTACGCTGACGCTGCTATTGTTGTTGCAGTAGGCGCCCGCTTGAGATTGATGGCACTGCCGCTTATGCTGAATGTTGTTGTATTTTATGCCGGTTTTGTAGAGCGAGGTGCTGCTGCTACTGACTCTACTGCTGTTACTGCTGCTACTGCAGGAACGCTGAAGATGCTGTTGTAGGTGCAGTTGTGTGAAGGCAACTCCATTCCATCTCATTGGCTAATTTTGTCAAGAGCATTGCATCATATCAATACACCCAATGAATCTGTACTTCACTAATCTTACGGCACATCAATTATCATTTTATATCATGCTGTTGGGCTTCTTCTTATATAGGCATATAGCTTGTAGAAAACGTGCGATGATGCATCAAGTATATTCTAATTAAAGGGATTGCGTTGCACTTGAACGACAACGTGCTAATGTGTTTTGTCGTGACGTTGTGATCCGGCTTATTATGTATTTCTATCATATTAATCATTTTCACACGGGTTCGATCGGATAATGCCGTCTAAACTTGCAATGTAGACAAAGCTGTGTATAATCCAAAGGTGACATTCAAGGCACTATGAAACCAGACACGTGTCCGTATCATTGCTGATGAATAAACGTAAGGGCTGATGCAGAATATGCCGGTGCTTGAAGGAATTCACCAGCGCCTTGTTGATGTAACGGGGTGAATCTTTACATAACAATTTAGAAGAAATTGTTAATAGAATATAACTATAAGAGTTATATTCTCAGAATATTGTCATAAGGACAATATTCTGCAGCACTTACGAGTAGTTCCTAATTGGTTGATATAGGCCATTGTATCAACCAACGAAGACGCGCCACGACAGACGCACGCAATGAGTTGTGAGCAGATAGTTGATATGCACATTTGTATTCAGACATAGATAGATGAAGATAAATAGTGATTTATTGCAGACATTAACTATACTAAATGCAGTTCTACTTTTTACTTTAACCAAGCACTCGCTTCTTCTTACCGTCTTCCTCTGCAAGTACCAGTGTACGTGAAGTTCCGAAGCACCGCCTTGTTCTGTCATCAGAATAAGTAGATTGTACTGTCACCAGTACAAGCTTCAGGGTGCCCCGTTACACCGGGTAGCACTTCGTAGTCCGTCCAAGGACCACGTTCACATCCAACATGAACATGTCGGATGATGAAGATGAACAAAGCTTTCACGCTACGCGTGACGGCTACTCCCATTTGAGCGATGTCAAATGGGATGCGGCTGAACGAATGGGTTCAACCATGGTCATCCATGCTGTCAGCGTCATGCTAGAGGCTCTCAATAGAGATGCCCAACATGCTACTATCGCCAAGTTCATTCAAAATGAACTTGACGCTGAACGCGAGAAAGTAGCCTTGCTTCACCAACAAGGTTCTCAACAAGCAGTGTTGTTGAGAGAACAGGGTGCTCAACAGTTTGAACTGTTGAGACAGCAGCAGGCTGCTGCTGGCGGGTCGATGCACTCGCGTCGGCCCGAGACTTTGAAGATTGACATCTCAAAGTATAGAGGGGTCGAAGAAGACTCCCTCTTGAGATGGTTCGTCGAATTGGATGACGCCATAAGGGCGCGTCGCATCGACGACGAGGATATGCAAGTTGCATTTGCCCAGTCAAATCTGGCAGGGCGTGCCAAGACTTGGGCACTGGGGCTCAAGTTGCACGACCCATATGCGTTTGGGTCGTTGGAAGTCTTCAAGTCGCGGCTCAGACAAACGTTTGAACCGCCTAGAGCTGAGTTCAGAGCTCGAACCGAACTCTTGAAACTCAAGCAGGGTAAGCGTGATGTGCACGCTTACGCACAACATATACGACATCTTACGAGTTGTATAAGTTCCAATCCGGTGGATGAACACACGCTGGTTTCGGTGTTCATGCAGGGTCTTGCGAATGGTCCCGTCAAGACTCACCTGTTCCGGCTTGAACTAGATTCACTAGAACAAGCCATATCCATTGCGGAACAGGAAGACTTCAGTCTGAGACAGGCTCGCGCCAGCGCGACATCATATCGTCAACCGAGACGATATGACAACGGAGGTCCAGAGCCGATGGAACTCTGTTATGTAGAGAGCGAGAAGGCTCGCTCTACAGGCTACAAGAAGTTGCAGAAATGCAACAGATGTCAAAAGACAGGACACTACGCTTACGAGTGTAGTGCCCCTCGTCCAGTGTCTCGCAACACAGGGCGTAGTGACCGTCCACCCATGAGAAAGGGGCAGGGACGCGGGTCCGCTGTAGGTGCAAAGACGCAACAACGGGATGGACCGTCAAAAAACGGACAGGATCAGTAGGTGCGGAGCACCCTACTAGTCCAGCAACGTCAAGAGAATTTGTAGGCCTCTAGATGAAGGTTGCTCCCAACACACAAACAGTGTGCGTTGTTGCTCTAGTAATAAGAACTCACTCATTACCTTGAAACTCGAAGTGACGAATAAGTTGTCCCTCGGAGCTCTAGTCGATTGTGGGGCGTCCAACAATTTTGTGCGACGCCAATCTCTAGAAGATGGTCACTTTAAGTTCAGTGAATGTGACACACCTCCTACGAGGATGACGGTACGTCTTGCGACAGGCGCATCCGTAACCGTCATGAAGCGTATAGTGAAGATCCACTATACGCTAGAAGATACCCAAGATGACGATGACTTTATCGTATTGGATTTGGATGACAAATTTGATGTCATCCTTGGAATACCGTGGCTCAGAAGGTACGAACCACGAGTAAACTGGCAACATCGGACAGTAACGATGCCTGCCGCTTGTTCATCAGATGGCCATCTGATGAACGTTTTGGAGCGTCCACAAGCGTGTGGATGTGCTACTAGTGAGTGCGATGGCCTCACTTGTGGTACGGTCGTTAGTACGACTGCACGAAACCTTAGTGTACCAAACAGTTACACTTCGGAGCAAAGTTCCGGCGGCTGTGAGGAAACACAGGCTGCACCGAAGGTCCACCACTCGAACAAGTCGAGTGGACCGGGACAAAGATGCATCCCTAGCGGGGAACATCTAGAAGAGAAACAATCGATCGCTCAGGTTAAGCGAAACGATAATCCTAGATCGACTGGAGAGTCTTTCGTAGAGGATCTCGATGTGGTTGCGCAACCCCAGCTAGAGGAAGTAAAGGGAATAAGTACCAAGATTACAAATACGGCGAAAATAAGTTCCCCGAAACCCGCGGGAATAAGTCCTCAGGAAGCCGAAGGAATAAGTCCTTCGAGGCCTGAGGGAATAAGTCCCCAGGAAATGACAGAGACATTGAATGTAATAGTCAATAACGGATCATGTGTAGGCGCTTATACACTTGATCTGATTGTGCCTCCAAAGTTGACTTCGGAGATCACTCAGTTGCCAACGCTCGAACATAAAAGGTTCTTGCGTGATCTGCGCAGTGGCTAAGTCAAGCAGATCTGCGTACTCGTCGCTGACGACGAGTGTGTATCCGACATAAGGTCAGCAACACTGTTTAATGAGAACGAGATAGTTCTCAGTAGTTCATCTATGGACGAGAGTGTCCTAGATGAAAAGACACGAGTTGAGCGATATGAGTCCCAATCATGGGAATCGCTCAAGAAAAATCCTTTCTATGAAGATTTGGTTGAATTCAAGGATGTATTCCCTGAAACTGTTCCGTGCGAATCACCGAAGGATAAAGGTATTCGACACGAGGTCGAGCTTAAACCAGGCTCGAAGTACTGTGTCATGAAGCAGTGGCCACTGCCTCGTGAACAAGTACTTGCGATCGACAAGTTCTTTGCCGATCGTTTAGCTGCGGGCCATGTGAGGGAATCAACTTCCCCACATAGCTCTCCGACCTTCTGTGTGCGTAAAGCAACAAGAGGGTGGCGGATAGTGCATGCATTTAACAAGTTGAATGCTGCAACGGTACCGGCTCAGACGCCGATACCGAAGAAGGACGTAATCATCGATGGTATGTCAAAGAGTACCATCTTTACGTCCATGGATTTGATGGATGGCTTCTATCAAATCCTTATGCGAGAACGGAATATACCCTATACCGCAGTTAGCACGCCTAGCGGCATGCTCTGGGAATGGCTAGTAATGCCACAATGGCTTAGTAATGCCCCTGCCACGTTCAACAGATGTGTATCACATCTGTTGAGACCAGTACGAGAATTCGCGCCGATTATTTCGATGACGTATTCATCCATAGTCGGGCTATGGATGGAAAGTCGGACGTTGAGGTTCACAGGTACCACGTCCGACATGTTCTTACAATCATGCGAAAGCATCAATTGTATGCAAACCTCAAGAAGTGTATATTTGCAACAAGCGAAATACCACTTCTTGGACAGGCCATTTCATGTGGTCTGTGATGCGAGCGATTTCGCAATCGGCTGTGCATTAATGCAGTACGATCTTGAAGGCGTTGAACGCGTCGTCTGCTATCAGTCGCGTCAGCTGCAACCAGCTGAGCGGAACTATCCAGTGCATGACAAGGAGCTCCTTGCCATGAAGTATGCACTCGCGAAGTTCAGAGTCTATCTATTAGGAGATAGACCCTTCGTTGTTTACACTGACCATGCGTCATTACGCACGGCAGTGAACAGCCCGCACCTTTCACAACGAATGGCGCGGTGGTTGTCATTCTTTGCAGAATACAACTTTACGGTCGAGTACAAACCAGGACGACTTAATGTCGTCGCTGATGCACTCTCACGTCGTCCCGACTTTGAAACAGTCGCGAAACCCAACAGTGAGACAGTCACTGTTGCGGTTATGACGCCCTCAGTCCCATCTACAACGTTGTATGATGATGTGAGGCGGGCAAACGCCCAAGATGGTGAGATTGTGAAGTTGTTGACACATCTCTCCCAACCATCTCGAGAATCGTTGAAACGGTTGTCGCCTGCGTATCGATCTGCATCAGATCGATACACTACTCGTAACGGGTTACTGTATTATACAGCCGTTTCTGGTGACACACCACGTGTTGTCATTCCAGATGACACTGATCTGCGTTTGCGGATCATGTTCGAGTATCATGATGCTCCTATAGGAGGACATCGTGGCCGAGAGAAAACATATCTCACGGTAAGTCGAGACTTTTACTGGCCCCGCCCCCAGTATCAGTTTGTGCGAAAGTATGTTCGCGCACGCGAAGTCTGTCAACGAGTGAAGTCAAGTCCTTCACTGCGTGCAACTTTACAGTATCTACCGGTTCCGGCTGAGTGCTGGGAATCCATCTCAATGATTTTTGTCTTCGGGTTTCCTAAAGACGCACGCGGGAATACGGGTATTCTCGTATTTGTTGACAGATTCAGCAAAATGGTACACCTTGTGGCTGTACCAGAGACAATCACGGCAAGTGGCTGTGCTTGTGTCTTTATCGACACCATCTTCCGACTTCATGGGTTGCCCCGTGAACTCGTATCAGACAGAGATCCACGATTCGCTGCTTATTTATGGCGTTCCGTGTTCAAATCACTCGGAACGCGCTTGAAGATGTCGACGTCTGATCATCCAGAGTCAGATGGTCAGACGGAACGTGCCAATCGTGTCCTTGAAGAGATACTTCGAGGATACATACACTCCTTTAAGAGTTGGAGTGAGTTCTTGCCAATGGTAGAGTTTGCCATTAACAACTCGGTGCATGCGTCCACGACCCATACACCGTTTTACGTGAATGGCTTACGCCATCGGTGTGTACCCACCTTACTAGAGTGTAACTCTGATTTAAGGGGGGGAGGGACTCGCGCGAGCAAAAACCGATTTGGTTCACGCTCATCACGATCTGACGAAGGGGTCATTGCGTTTGGTGCCGATATCGATAACATCGATAACGAAGAAGATGATGCCAGTGAGAGTGCGGAAGCCCTCACTGAAGAAAAGGTTGATGTTGCTGCAGTGCGCTCACAGCACACTGAAGCTAACGAGTCATCAGATGAGTTCATACTGGCTCGTGAAACGGTAGTCCGTTTTGTGCAAGACTCCATCGCCGAAGCGGTGGATAAGCAAAAGAAAAACGCTGACAAGCATGGAAGGGCAAACACTCTTTTATTTAATAAAGGTGACTTAGTCATACTGTCTACGGTTAACCTATCAAAGCATGTAGTGACTAAATTGGGTAGCAGTAAACTACTACCCAAGTACATCGGCCCATTTCATTTGAAGGGCAAACACTCTTTTATTTAATAAAGGTGACTTATTCCTACTGTCTACGAATAATCTACCAAAGCATGTAGTGACTAAATTGGGTAGCAGTAAACTACTACCCAAGTACATCGGCCCATTTCGTGCATTGCACCGCCTAGGCAATGTATACACGATCCAGTTGCCACGTAAGATGCGAACGCATCCCACGTTTTACGTTGGTCGGCTTACGGCGTACCATCAGTACGCTGCTTCTTCCGATGAATAACGCCCTTGCGCTCAAGCATCTCGCAGAGAGCCTTGTGCTCCCGATGGTGGGCATCGACAAGGGTCTGGAGAGCAGTTATCTCATCCCGAGACCGATCAACATTCGTGACGAGCTAAGGGTAGCTCGTCACGAAGAGATTTCAGAGCTCTCTAGTTCTTAAGCTGAGCAAAGGCAAACTCAGCTCGATGCTTCAAGCCAGTATACGCCATTTGGAGACGCCTGTACCGCTCATGTTCGAGATTGCCGCGTAACCCTTGCGTTACGCGATCAAAGAAGCTCTCGGGAACACACGGATCCACTTGATCGTGTGGAGAGCGTCTTTCCTCCTCCTCCACCTCCACTAGAGGACCCTCGCGGTGGCCAGCGCTATCTAGTTGAGCAGCTGTTGAATCACCGGGACGTGAACGGACGTCGGACGAGTTATCTCGTCCGGTGGCACGGCTATCCCCCGTCCTGGGATACTTGGGAGCCCCGCTCCCAGATGATGGTTGACGTACTGAGTCTGGTTGAGCAGTACGACGCGGCACATGCTTGGCCGCAGAAGGACCTCCGGAGAAAGTCTTCCCGACACGGTCGTAAAGGGATTTCAGGTTGTCAATCCCTTCGTACATCTTAGTAGAGACACGTACGCGCCACCACGGGCTGGTAAGGAGGTAAGCCTCCTTAGGTGCTCGTGCAGAGTTGTTCACACAACATGGGCACGAGTCTCCCCAAGAGAGGCAGGGTAATCCTTTTTCCCTTGACAGACGATGCAGCTTGTAGCGTGCACCTGTCGGAGTTCGCTTTTCAAGCTTATCACGAGCTTTGATAAGTTTGTCGTTCCAAGCGTCACGACCTACATCCTCAAGGTTATGGATGTAGGCGTTCCACGCTTGAAGTAGTGAGGGACCATCACGCTTGTGATTCCCACTATACCACTGATGCTTAAAGAAATCATCGATGAAGAATTCATGTTCAGCGCGATAGTTTTTCGCGCTGGGGTCAAGGTGATGGATCCTTGACGAATCGAACATTCGTGTTCGATAACGATCACTCGTCGTCGCCGACAAGTGATCCATGACAGTTTTAGGAGGCATCCATGCCTTCTTTTCTGGAGCGAGACGCAACACATTGCGGTCCCGCTCTTCCTGCGACGTGCCGACAGAAGTACTGGCACCTCGCTGTGAAGTGGTGTCCATTGGAGAACCGAAACCACTATTAGCGCCCGAGTCTCGCGACCTCGAGCGCCTTCGCTTCGGCGATGGTTATCTGATTCGTCAGATGAACCAAAGATGCTGCGACGCAAAGCATCATCCATGCCACGCTTGGCAGGCGGCTTGGATTCAATCGCCGTCGATACGGATCCGTCATCCGTATCAGGAGAGTATGAGACTCCGAGCTCATACTCTGTGAAGACACGAGTGTCTTCATGACCAGCGCCTGCATCACCAAGTGACACTGGCTGAGTCGCTTCAGCAATCGATGAGACATCAGTTGCTGTGGTTTCTGCTTCGGCGTCCGCACAGAGACGTGCGGACGCGCTCTCGGCGGCCTTGCTCGCGCATCGCATGGGCTTGTTTACCATGCGATGAGATGTTGGAAAGTGGACTCGGACCAACAAGTGCAAACCCTGTCCCAAATGATTTGGGACGAGTACCATTTAGTCAATCAGTCACTAAAGTGACTGATGGTTAAGGGGGGGTGATGTAACGGGGTGAATCGTTACATAACAATTTAGAAGAAATTGTTAATAGAATATAAATATAAGAGTTGTATTCTCAGAATATTGCCATAAAGACAAATATTATGTAGCACTTACAAGTAGTTCCTAATTGGTTGATATAGGCCAGTATATCAACCAACGAAGACGCGCCACGACAGACGCACGCAATGAGTGGTGAGCAGATAACTGATTTACACATTTGTACTTAGACATAGTTAGATGAGGATAAATAGTGATTTATTGCAGACATTAACTATACTAAATACAGTTCTACTTTTTACTCTAACCAAGCACTCGCTTCTTCTTACCGTCTTCCTCTGCAAGTACCAGTGTACGTGAAGTTCCGAAGCACCGACTTGTTCTGTCATCAGAAAAAGTAGATTGTACTGTTACCAGTACAAGCTTCAGGGTGCCCCGTTACAGTTGACTTCTAAGTACAACAAAATGGACATGGAGACTTAAAATGATAATGACAAGACACAAAAGACATTTGGTTAGGTCAAAGTGATCAATCGATCCAGCATATTGTCATGGTTCAACCCAACTGATCGACTTTGCATCGACAAGTATAGATGTGGTAAGGCGGATCGAAGAAATTGGAGGCGATCGTTGGGTGGAGTGATCTCAAACTACAAAAATTCATCGAGAAGGATCGATTGACTGTCAGGCTGCGCAATACCAAGACCGGATATCGCAAAATTGAGGTCAAATACCGCTATACCGAGAGTGAATATCGCTATACCGCACTCAAATATCATAGCGACGGGATCGAATATCAAGTTGCCATAATCGGTTCAAGATACCAAGACCAAGAACGCACGAGGTGTTCACAGTAGGGAAGACGACCGACAAATTGGCAGGGATCATGGTCCTGGAGAGTGATCGACGTTCAACCAAGTAGATCGACGATCGGTCAGGAGATCGACGATCAGTCAGGGAGATCGACAATCTATCAGGGAGATCGACAATCTATCAGGGAGATCGATGATTAATCTGAAGTGGACCTCGCATGCGAAGGAACGATCAGCGGAATGTAGAAGAGACGTGACAGCATATCATGGCGTATATTAAGCCACATTTATAGTTTTAGCTTTTGTTTGGATAGATTTGTCGAGAATTTGTTTACTTCTATGTACACATGTCGACTTCTCTTCCGGGCAGGGTGGAATATTGGCCTCCCAACCCGTCAAGAGAGCCGCGCATACTGAGCCAAGTGATATTCTCAATGAATAGCTGGGGATCAAGAATTTTCGAGACAACTTCGACTTAAATTAGACGCAGCAAGAATGTAAAGACCAATGCACAAGGTCGCAAACGGCTCAAGTGGTCAAAAGGTTCGCCTATCATGCATCCTCATAGTGGACAAGGCGATCTTGTTGAGAACTAGGTGTCTTACATCAAGTAATCTACAAGTATACCCGTGATCGTGTGAAGGTTTCCGCGCTATCACTGTAACGGGGTTGCACGAAATCATGGTACTTTGTACCAGAGGTGTTACACACCTGAGGGTTCGCTTCTGTGAAGGTGATATAGAATATCTTATCGTTCTGTAGGGGCTGACGAGTGTCAGCCATTAGATACGAAAGATCTTTGAGTAGGATTAAGATATTCTATAGGCTTTAACAAAAATAAAAATCAGTTCCCATTTTGATCTGAAAGACACGTGGCTTGCGATCCGTCTTGATCGTTGATCTCTGATCACTAAGAGTTAGCGACACCTCCTTGAGGTAGCTACTCTTGAGCACTAAGTGCTGTCGATTCACTGAATCGCTAGGTCCCCTGGAACAGGGATCTGAAGCTATAAAGCTTGTTGACTCGTAAAGTCGTTAGTTCATTAGAACTAAGTTGCTCGTAGAGCGTTAAGTCTTCCTCTGACTTAAGGAGCTGTGTAGCTCCATTACACTTGGTAGCACTTGTAGTCGATCTACGCCTGAGTCTTTAAGACTGATCCTCTGTGAGGATGGAAAACATCACTCCCCTATCTGAGGCCCAAAAGGTCGCGCTTGATAAGCTGACCGCATCTTTGGGTCCAGAGTACGTGGAGTTCCTTGTTTTACAAGGTCCTGAAGTGCTTAATGCACGTGTTGAAAGCTTCATGCAGTATGAAGCGACCCTTTTAGGGCAGGTCCAAGACCAAATAGCGTCGGCTATGCCTACACGCTACGTGTCTGTACCAGATGAAGAGGCTAAGCCTCGTCCACTTAGAGTGGAAGTAAAAAACTACTCCGGTAAGGAGGGCGAGAACCTCATCCTCTGGATCCGTGAGATCGATATGGCCATGAGATCAGGCCTGATCACGCTTGACCATCAACAGGTCTCGCTGGCTATCTCGAAGCTCGATGGTAGAGCTAGAGAATGGGCCTTGACGTGTAGCACGTCGGTGGACATAGCGTTTCCCACATGGGAGTCGCTCAAGTTAAAATTGGTACAGGTGTTTTCTCCACCTAACCAGGCTTACCGCGTGCGCTCACGCTTTCTTTCTACCCGCCAGGGTAAGAATGAATTATCGGACTATGTCCAAGAGCTGCGAACACTCATGGCTGCAATGCAGTCTGACCCTTTGCCTGAATCAGTCCATGTGACTATCTTCATGGAAGGTCTACGTACTGGCATTGCCAGGACCGAAGTTTTTCGGGTTCAACCCTCTACGTTTGAAGAGGCTGTGAGAATTGCCATTAATGCTGAGCATAACTTCAAGTCGGCCAGACTTGGTTGGAACGGATACAATCCTCGCTCTGTGAGAGCAAACTATTCGGGTACCACTGCCTATAATAGGCCGGAACCGATGGATCTCAGCTATGCTGAAGATGGAGGTGAAGCTGAGCTTTAAGCTGCTGAGCCGAAACACGTTGTAAGACGATGCTTTACGTGCGGAAGCACTAAACACTTGCGGTCTGGTTGCCCTTTGCGTAAGCAACGCCAGACTACGAGCCAACACTCGAGCCCGAGTCAGAAGTCTGGCATGGCACGGGGAAATGCCGACACCCAATTTGGCGCGGGGCGCCCTACTGGGGAAGAACTTTGTTCTGTTACACCTTTAGAAGGTAAAGGAATGCAGGGCTTAGCCCCAAAGAGTACCATACCTACGGGTATGGTGCGTGGATACAAGTCTGGCTTGTTGGTCGCTGAGGCGGAAATTAAGGGCTTCGAGAAGCCTTGGTCGATATTGATCGATTCTGGAGCGTCTTGCAATTATGCTCGACGCCGTTCCCTTGAGGGAAGTCAGCGTTATGCTGAGGCGCTTACAGCGCATGAGGGTGATTCTATCACGGTTCGTTTAGCGACTGGAAGTCGCGTAACGGTGCCTAAAGTTCCATTGAACTTAGGTATAAAGTTTTTAGACTTTGACAGTATTGAGCGCTGTCTTGTCCTAGATTTGGACTCGAGATATGATCTCATCCTAGGTATGGCTTGGCTTGAGCGCCATGAGCCATGGATTGATTGGAGGTCTAAGACCTTAGGCGCTACGCGCAATGTTCCCTAGCGGAGCTTTTGGAGAGTCATGAACCCACCTTTGCTAGGCAGCAGAAGCGCTATTGGCGCGAGCCTTTGACAGAAGATGTCAATGTGCTGGATATTGGAATGTCCGAGTTATCTAACTCCAATGTTAAAAACATAAGTTTCGAGCCTAGCTCGTCTAAAACTAGTGAAACGGCACGTACTCCGTTGAGTGGTACTCGTTGTGATAACGAGTCACTGCATGCTGAAAGCATGGTTGGCCTAGGGCCGAGTGATCAAGGACGTGATTCCTTTGATGTGTGTATGGTGGCACGTGAAATTACACCGAGTGCGGTCGGCCGTGAGAGCACCGTACTGAATGTCGGTAATGACATTTTTGGCCATATGCCATTTAGTGTGGGCGGCTGTGAGGGCACCACGCTTAACGCCGGTAATGGCGTTGTTGGCGATTCGCCATGTTGTGTGGGCGGCCGTGAGGGCACCACACCTAATGTCAGTAATGATATTGCTGGCGATACGCCGTATAGTGTGGGCGGCCGTGAGGGCACCACACCTAATGTCAGTAATGACACTATTGGCGATACGCCGTATAGTGTGGACGGCCGTGAGGGCATCACACCTAATGTCAGTAATGACACTATTGGCGATACTCCGTATAGTGTGGACGGCCGTGAGGGCACCACACCTAACGTCAGTAATGACACTATTGGCGATACGCCGTATAGTGTGGACGGCCGTGAGGGCACCACACCTAATGTCGGTCAAGACAAAAGCTCTCGTGTAGAGCGTACTATGGTTGGTAGTAACCACGGGGACAATATTGTCCCGACCCCTAATGGGAGTAAGGTCTCGAAGAGACAATAGAGACGCCGAGTAGCAGCTGGAAAGCGCCAGGCGTCCTCATAGTCACATAGTGAGATTAGCAATACACTATATACACTTGTTAATGGAGTGACTGGTCAGGTTAATGGCAACGTGAGCCTCGAAACCCTTCCATCTGTGGACGCTCTGTGTGAG